AAAGGAGAGAGAGCCGGTTTAAATGTATTCTGACAAGAAAGTGGCCAAGATGGCAGTGGGCGGGGGAGGGAGTTATGCTGAAATACCTTTTTTTAAAAAAAAAACTGATAGAAGTTGGTTGCCTACCAAGAGCCACTGAGGGGACAGTTAGTCACAGTTAGGCCCACACAGGAGTCAAGAGAAGTGTCTTCCTCAGGAAAGAGTCTGGCTTTCCAGGAGCCGCAGCTCATTTCCTCCAGGCCAGACCCTCACTGACACTGCTGAAGGAAGGTGGGGGAGCCGTTGAAAGGCACTGGGCAGCCTTCTCTGTGGTGCAGCCCGCTGAGCTATCACCCTGACAAAGCGCCGGCCTTGCGGCCAAGGGAAAGGGGCCACGAGGGGCAGCGAAGGTGAGTGCTTTCCCTGCTTGCTGCTGCTTGCTAGGTCTGCCTCCTTCTCCCCCGTGGAGGGGTTGCTGCTCCCTTGGCAGAGCATCCATCCCCTTTGCCAGCTCCCTCCAGACTGAGAGCAAAACGCTGGCTGCTGGATCTGTGGGCGGGGCCGAGCCAACGCAGTGAGGCTATGCAGCCAGGGGATTGGGAGTCCATGAGATGGGCAGTTGAGCAGGCCAAAGGCTGTGGGAGCGTGTCCAGGAGTCACACCAAAACTCTTTTATAAATAAGGAGAGATGGTTCAGTTTCTGGTTTTCAGCTTACAACAATTTATATCAACACTGCTTTCTAAAGGTCCTTCCATCATCACTGACATAGAATTCCCAAGATGCAAAAAGAGGACCCTGGTATTCTCTGAAGGTCTCCCATCCAAGTATTTGACAGAGTTAGCCCTGCTTAGCTTCCGAGATCTGATGAGATAGGGCTTGCCTGGGCTCTTCATGTCAGGGCAATAATTATTATGCTATTTTTGTACCTATTTTAACTGATCCAATTGTACATTGTTGTAAACTGCTTTGAGCTTTTAATCAAAGAGAAGTGGTATAAAAATTAAATAAATAAAATAGCCATGCACTTTTACACTCGTGAAACACTTCCTTGACATGACTGCATTTACTAGAATGTAGATATAAGGCAGCTCTAAGTCACTGTTCTGCCCTCACCATCTGAGCTGCTTCATCGTTTTCCATGATATAAAACAAGAGTTCTTGAGCACTGCCTCTGTGAAATTTCCTTGATAAAGGGGGGGGGGATCTTTCAGACTTCTTCAAGAGTTACAAAAACAGAACTGTGCTAACAGCAGGTGTTCTGTCATGACAGGCAAAAGGAATGCCCACAACTGGCACTGAAAATCCTGAGGGACATCCTCTAGGAAGTGCCAAAGAGTTATCCAGTCAGTAAATACGTAGACAAAAGAGGAGTGAGAATGGACGACACATGGAAGTTTTGGAAGGGGAGCCATGTTAGTTAGTCTGTTGTAGTAAAATTACAAAAAAGTCGGAAAACCTTTCTTAAAGACTAACAACATTTATTTCAAAGTTTGAGTTCAGTGGAACCTGCAAGACCAACAAAGTTTAATTCCGGGTATAAGCTTTCATGTGCATGACTTCATCAGATACATCAGAATAATGCAGTTGGTAAGGTCTGTGAATAGCAGCAAATTAGCATACAGATAATAAAAGAGTTAACAAGTACTCACAATTACTGGGGGACAACCCTTTCCTTGAACACAGACAGCCCCCCAATCTCAAACAGCTCCTCACACACAATAATGCAACATCTAATTTGAACTCATACCAGAGCTTGCAATAAACCCAGGTGCCAACTTTGCTGCCACATAAACCCAGACAACAAAATTGCTGAACCTAAGAACATCAACTACACCATCTCAGGCTCATTCATTTGCTCATCTTCTAACCTTGTATATGCAATTAAATGCCAACAATGCCCTCTAAATAGCACAAACAGGTTAAACCTTAGCCAAAGGATAAACTGACACATATCTGACATTAAGAATCACAAGACTGAGAAACCTGCAGGAGAACACTTCGGCCTTCCAGGACATTCAGTGGGTGACCTCAAAATAGCTGTTTTACTGGAAAGGAATTTCAGAAAGTGACTGGAATGGGAGATTGCTAAATTACAAGTTATTACAAACTCAGGGTAATGGAACCCCCAGGGCTTAACAGAGATATCAGGTTTTTATCTCACTACGCATGCTAAGTCACACAGTCCTCATACCCAGAATTAAACTTTGTTAGTTTTAAAGGTTCCACTGGACTTAGTTCTCACATCTGTTGTTAACTCTTTTATTATCTGTATACTAATTTGCCACTATTCATAGACCTTACCAACTGCATTATTCTGATGTATCTGATGAAGTCATGCACATGAAAGCTTATACCCGGAATTAAACGTTGTTGGTCTTGCAGGTTCCACTGAACTCAAACTTTGAAATAAATGTTGTTAGTCTTTAAGAAAGGTTTTCCGACTATTTTGTAATTTTACTACAACAGACTAACTAACATGGCTCCCCTTCCAAAACTTCCATGTGTCGTCCATTCTCACTCCTCTTTTGTCTACGTATTTACTGACTGGATAACTCTTTGGCACTTCCTAGAGGATGTCCCTCAGGATTTTCAGTGCCAGTTGTGGGCATTCCTTTTGCCTGTCATGACAGAACACCTGCTGTTAGCACAGTTCTGTTTTTGTAACTCTTGAAGAAGTCTGAAAGATCCCCCCCCCCTTTATCAAGGAAATTTCACAGAGGCAGTGCTCAAGACCCCCCCCCCCCCAATATGTAACGCTTGAGGAAATCTGTTTTCAATGTATCTGAGGAAGTGTGCATCTACACGAGCTAAGTCTCTTCAGTTCTTTCTTATACCCAGAATTGACCTTTGTTGATCTTGGAGGTGACACTAGATTCAAATTTAGTTCTTACTTGTGTTCGTTAACTGTTGTATTTGTATGCTAATTTGCTGCCATTCACAGATCTTAGCAACAGTTTTAATCCAATCTCTGCTATACTTATTGCCCAGTTGACTCAAACTAGTCCTTCCTGGCAACTACCCCACACACACACACATGCACACTGTCTCTGGGACTCTGGGGCAAGGGACTCTCAGGCAAGTGATGCTCTGTCATCTTGGTGCTTGGGGGGGTCAACAGTGGGAGGGCTTCTAATGTCCTGGCCCCACTGGTGGACCTCCTGATGGCACTGGTATTTCTGGCCACTGTGTGATACAGAGTGTTGGACTGAATGGGCCTTTGGCCTGATCCAACATTGGCATCTCTTATGTTCTTATGTTCCCTATATGTTAGGCATGAGAAAAACTGTCACAATGAATCTGAAGTGTGCATGCACAGGAAAGCTTATACCCAGAATTAACTTCATTGGTCTTAAAGGTGCCACTGGACTCAAATTGTGTTCTTTCGCTTCAGACCAGCATGGCTACCCACCTGAATCTATCAACTTTTATTTCAGTATGAGATTTCGTTACCAGACGGCAGGTGACAGGACAGTTGAGGGGCTTCCAAGAATAGAAAGAGGAAAGTGGGTCAGCATTTCACCCCTTTAACAAATCAAGGTATCCAAAAACAGGATGGTGGAGGTGGCAGGGGAGTTCAGATCTACCATAGCAACAGCTGAGAACGCTAGATACAATGCTGTGGGAGAATGTTTAAGGATACAAATACCATGCCTTGCCAAGAGCCAAGGACAAGCTGTTATAAATTATGTTCTGTTTACACAAAATGCTTCCATTTTCTTCAGACGTTCTTTCCTAATAAATCAAGGGACTTACAGAGTAAAATGAATACAGGTCATTTAGATGAATATTTTCACCCACTTTAAAGCAAAAGGATTGGGAGCTCAAGTGGCGATGCTTCTGTTCTTAAAGATGAGACAGTGTTGGGTTTTTTTTAATTTACAGTATTATTTCCATATGATCAGCATTCATCAGATGCTTTGGTACAGTAACCCCCCCCCCCAGGGGTAGACATGAATTCCCCTTGCAGCAGCAACATCCCCAGAGCCCTTGAAAACCAAATTCAATGCAGTTTTCACATTGTTCAAAGGATTGTCAAATGCTGGCAAACATGCTGGAAGAGAATAAAAACTTGGGGTACAGACAGAGAAGCTTAACTGGACTTAACTGTCCTAGCTAGGGATACATGCTATGCATAATATTATAAGCTTACATCTTTATACTTATCTTATAAACTTCTGTTTATATGATTCCCCCCTTTTATGTTTCTGTTTTCCAAAATGAAAAGCCCTAAACTCTGTGGACCTCCCTCATAGGGAAAGTGATCCTTGAGAACTTGTTACGAGCTAATGAGAGAAAAAAGACATTTGAGCAATGGACAATTTCTCTTTTGCTCCTAGTTTCTTTGTTGGTTTGAGGTTTTCCTCCTGTTTGAAAATGGCTCTCAGGATCAAATACTGTCTGTTTAAGCCAGAGGAGCTCTGTGACAGCAGACAGTGTTTGTATGATGACAATAAGGCCCCAGGAGCCAATGTGATAGTATGTAATCCCTGACCTGCTCTACAGGGTTTTTTTTTTCATCCACTCCCGTGACACAGGGTAATGCAAGAGCTTTTCTGCCCATGACAAAAAGTTCTATACTTCAGAACAGAAGCTCTGCTGGGAACTGCATGGGGTTGATACTGCCAAGTGGCCAGCTTCCAAATCTATTCCACATTAGGCTGGGTTCAGGAGGAGAATCATCCAAAAATAAATGAATGGCTGCCCTCAGAATAAAAGGAAATGGGGAAAAAAAGGAAATGCCTGTGACCTCACTTAGGAGGGTATTATGAAATTGTGGGACCAGAGCCAACCATCTCCTGTGCAGTATATTTTGCTGAACCAGATGGCTCCTATATCATGCTCTTTCTTTTTTTTCCTGGAAAACCAAGAGATGTTGGACAAAAAAAAAAGAGAGAGAGAGAGAATCTGTATGAAAAGGGAACATAACGAAAGCTCTTTCACCTTAATGTGAAATCAATGAAACATTTTAGCAAACTATCATTATCCATACATCAAAAGTTTGGTTTCATCTTTCATCCAGGTACTCAATAGATCGAAACACAGACCTGGAGAGATATTTCAATATTGATGCCAACAGCGGGGTCATTACGACAGCAAAGCCTTTGGACAGAGAGACAAATGCTGTTCATAACATCACGGTGTTAGCAATGGAGAGTCGTAAGTTACCATTTCAAGGGTTTTGTAAGCCTTGTCTAAAGCATGGGCTTTCACTGTGATATGTGTCCAGTGACACTGAATCAAGGCCTTCATTAGAGCCTAAATAGATTAAGAAAAAGGTATAGTGATTAACCACTAAAAGTTAATTGTACTGTTTACTTAATTTGTTTAGGGACCATCATGAACCATAGCATTCAAAGTGACAATCCAGTGCTTACTGATAATACTGGAGTAGCCTCTTGCTTTTCTAGGATTACCCTGTGCCTCACAAAAGTTCATTATGCATCTCTACAGTAGGGCCTATCATGTATAACAGAGAGAACTTGGAGGTCAAGGGGGACAGAATCATGATATTTTATAACTGCTGGAAGCAGAACACAAATGCCAGGAGCAGGGTAGATTTACTCCTTTCCCTGTATTTTCTTCTCAGGCTACCAGCACTGACCATTAGCAGAGACAGGATAACAACAAGCCATTAGCATGATCAAATGTGGCAGCTGTAGAGTTGTTTTCCTTTCTTTGTGGGTGACAAAATCCCATTGACAACATCCTTTTGTTGATCTGTCCACATAGAGAATATTTCATCCTTTCAAAATTAGTTCCCAGTGTTGGGGGGGAAAGGAATAATAACTGGTTCTTGTTTCCACCAGAAAACCCTTCACAGATTGGGAGAGGATATGTAGCCATCACTATCCTTGACATCAATGACAACGCTCCTGAGTTTGCAATGGATTATGAAACAACTGTCTGTGAAAATGCAGAGCTTGGCAAGGTGTGGATTTATATTCCTAACAGCTTGATGATACTTGCTGCACAGCGGTAATTTGATTTGCAGTGTTGCCTCTTTTAAGATAAAATATAATCAGTTTATTGTAGTAAAAATGACATGATGATTTGAAGCTAAAACAAACATTAACCACGTCTGAAACCTTCATCATTTGAGACCCTGCGAAAGAACTGGGCAGGTAAATTTGCATTGCAGGTCAGTTTAGAAGATCCTCTGGGTTTCCTAATCTGTGGAAAATCACACATTCTCCCAGTTTATCTCACTCTAGCACTATGAAGAGGGGGGTTGTTTAGTTTTTGGGGTGTTTTAAATAGTAGGAATACATTGTGATCACATACCAAGTGGCTGCTGACAAAGTAGACAGGTATATAAAGACAATGATACCACAATATATAAATGTCTCTCTCAATTACACTGGAATCTTGAATCTACAAGATTCATACATTTCCTAGAGCCAGAGAGTGCATTCAGACGGGCAGCTAATCCTGCCATTATGCCATCTTGAATTTTATCCCAATCTTTTTAATCCATTGTAGCACGACCAGACAGCCCCCTGGTGAATCGCCTTACCGCGCACTGCCTCCGTTGTGGACTGTCTAGATGGCATCCACTGAAGGAGGCATGCACGGTGGGGTTTTTTTAAAAAAAAACAACCCTTTTTGTGCATGCACATTGGCATCACAGCGCGTCCTTGTTGAAGGAGGTGCGTGGTGGGTTTTTTTAAAAAAACTTTTTGCGCATGCACATAAACATGACAGCACATCTTTGTGGATCCGCACATGTGTAGAGATTTTTTAAAATTGCGCCCGCTCAGGATGGTCTGATGTCAGACCACCCCGACGGGAGGATTGCGCACTGGTGTAATGATCAGATGGGTGAAAGTCCGCACTTGTCCCGCAGGTAACCGAAAACCCCAGATTTAAAGTGCTATCTTTTAAGTACGGCTCCGAAGCGCAGCAAAATGGGATGCCCACGGAAGAGAGACATTTCCCAGATGGTTGTGTCTGGAGATTACCGTTAGATCCGTGAGGCAATTGTGCCTCGCACGGATCTAAAGAGCCATCTGATTGGACTCAGAAACATTTTATTTATTAAAGTTTACCTCTGCATCACATAAAAAAACCCACATCCTCAATGGATTATCAATGTTTTAATGTCTTTACCTAATTTAACTATATGGTTTTCTCCTGCTTCATCTAATTCACTCAACACATCTTGTGAGGTAAACTAGCTGAGAAAGACTGACTGACTGAAGGTCCTGTCTGAGTGGGAATTTTAACCAAGGCCACCCCAAGCCCTTGCCCAGCCTGTAACCATTATGTTGGTTCTCTTTCATTATTTATCACATTTATATTCTATCCTTTCTGCCAGGAGCTCAGAGCAGTGTTCTGCCTTCTGCTGATTCTATGTTTTACTCATGTTTGGAATAATAACATTACAATTTGGGGCGTTTGCACCAGAAAGATGCACAAAGTGGAAACATCTGAGGAATTCTTTGTAATGCTAACAGAGGAATAGTTCTCATTTCCATATCATTTTCTTCTGTGTGATGGTATGGAGCTCATTCACAACCCAACCTCAGGCCCTTATGTTGCTGCAATGAGATGGCTGAAATATTGTGTAAATGGGAAGATCTGATGTTTACTAGTACACTCCACTGCAACAATGCTTCTGAGCATAACAACTCATTTTGAGCATGTCCAGCATTTTAATTGCATATCCTGCAAATGTTAGTACTCTTGGTGCATACATATTACTTCCCCAGTGTGGTTAAAGGGTAAGGAAAAGTAATAGTTTAAGCCATATTTAAACCAATAGTGTGACAGTTGCCCAAATGAATAACAAGATCAGCCATTAGGAGATACATGAATGGATCTTCCATGGGTTTTTAACAGTAAATAGCATTTATGAGGAGCCCTGTTCCACACTCCAGAAGTGCAAGGAGATATATACCCTTCCTGAGCTTAGTCAGGAATAAGGAACTGGTATCATACAGGCATCGTGTGGATGACCCCATGAGGTAAATAACAGGGCCTGGGGGGGGGCTATTGAAATTGGAAGGAAAGAATGTGAGGAAGAGGTTAACCCCCTTCACATTGATTCCCCAGTCCAAATAAGAGCCCTCTTGCAGTTGCTATTTGCCATTTTAAAAACCACAAGGGATCCATTCACAGATTTCTCATTATCAGTGTAATCATAAAGAGGTCTACTCAGAATTCCCATTCAAGTCTATTTAATGGGGCTTGCTTCCATGGAAGTATTGAAAGGGCAGCACTGAAAGTTAGGTAGAATCACCTTCACTTCTGTCAAAAAACTTATAAAATCGTTGTCCACACTCCTTTAGTATTTATCTGGCCTCCTTGTATGATAAGTTACCCCATTTCCTTAGATCTATTTTGCCAGCCTGTCTTTCTTACAGTAAACTTTCTCCAATGTTTAGCTTAAGGGATTTTTCTCTCCCCCCCAAGCCCCCCCCCCAAACCATGTTCATTTGCACTCATGGTCTTTTCTGTCACACAAGAGCTTTTTTCATAGGTGGTATTAATCTAATGTAGGAGCATTTTATTTATTTATTTATTATCAAATTTAAAAGAGAGAGAGAGAGAGAGAGAGAGAGAAAGAGAGAGAGAGCTCACCCCCAATCTGATGTGTTGGAGTAACACAAGAGCTGTGTGTCCCAGTACAGAATGAACATTTTGGTCTCCCTTCCGCTCTGTCTGATTTTGACTTGAATATTTAACTCTGCTTTCTTAAGGACAGTAATACTGATCCTAGTTCATTGAAGTTAACGGTATTAGAAAATATGTAGTTCTGTTTAGGATGTCACTGTAAAAAAATCCCATCAATAGATATTTACTCTTTTCATATCCTCCAGAAACTGACACAAGAGCTATTGTTATTGCAGAGTTTTGGGGTGCATTACTGAAAGAAGGCTGTGATCCCAATAGTTTCTGAATGGTAGATAAAAGTTTCAGATTTCGTTGAAATGGATATGTAAGCAGACAAAATACAAAAATGTAACATATTTTGTAGCAGTAATAGCAGATATATAGAATCCTTTGTTTCGTTTTTGGAATTTCTGTACATTTACTGTTACACTGGAAAGACTACTTTTTGTTGGTATACATAATATCATTTACTTATTTTCCCATGTTATCCCCCATCTACCCCAAGCTGTTTCTTCAATGTACAGGAATTTCAGAAGCCGTTTTTTTGGGGGGGGGGGAATTGGAACAGCTGTTGCAAAAGAAACTTGAGACCGAATTGTGATGACCGTGTGCTTGTTAAATTTAACACAGTTTGATGGCCTTAGTATGTTGTAAAGGTAAAGGTAAAGGTTCCCTTGCTCGAAAGCCAGTCGAGTCCGACTCTAGGGTTGCGGTGCTCATCTCCGTTTCAAAGCCGAAGAGCCAACGCTGTCCGAAGACGTTTCCATGGTCACATGGCCGGTATGACTAAACACCAAGGCGCACGGAACGCTGTTACCTTCCCACCGAAGTGGTACCTATTTATCTACTTGCAATTTCTTGCTTTCGAACTGCTAGGTTGGCAGGAGCTGGAACTAGAGACGGGAGCTCACTCAGTCATGTGGCAACTCGGGTCTTGAACTGCTGAACTACTGACCTTCCACAGCCTGCAGTTCAGCGTCTTAACCACTTGAGCCACCGCAGCTCCATTTATGTTGTATGTTGAGAGACAGACAATAGCAATCCAGTGTGGAATTTGTTTTTTTATTTACTTACTTCATTTGTACCCCGCCTTTCTCCCCAGTGGGGACCTGTACTCCCTGTAGAAAGAGCAATATAAACTAGCAGTAGACTTGGGCATTACTTTTATATTTAAATTTGCAATCTATAAACCAAACCATGAGGAAAGGAGGGGTATAAATATTTTAATAACTAAGTAAATAAAATAATAGGTAAAGATGTGAATTTTCCTTATTATTCCTGCTAGAACTTATCTTGTGTCCTGCAGGAAATATCCATATATTATATGCATTAAAATCTAACAGAAGGTAAATCCCTGTTTCCCCCACCCCCAGGTAATTCAGAGAATCAGTGCCATTGACAAAGATGATCCACCCAGTGGCCATCAGTTTACCTTCAGCTTGGCAGGAGAGGCAGCAAATAACCACAATTTTACATTGCAAGATAACAAAGGTAAGACACCAATTGTGGTTGGCAACCCAAGGGCATCAGTGTTGACACGCCAAGGCTCTTATTTCTTGAGACAAGCAATACTGATTGTCATCTGGAGTAACATCTTTGTCAGGAGCAACATTAATTAAGAGCAATCAGACCCCAAAGTAATTTTTATCCATAGATTATCTGTCAGGAGAAAGAAGCTGCTGTTTAAATCATTTTAAGCCATGAGCCAAACAGATGGGCTTCAGATCCTTTCCTTAAACTGATTCTTTTCACTTTTTGTATTCATAGGTCTTTATCTAAATTAAATTATACCTTAGGGCAGCAGCTGAAAAATTTCCTGGGCCTCGTGTTTGATTAATGTAACTCAGAATATAGAAAAATGAGCCCTTAAACACTTGGCAAAGAGGCTGGTGCTTTGAGAAAACAACCTCTTTTTTTTTTAGTAGAATCATCTATAAAAATGTTTTGGAGCATGAACCTGAGGATTCCATTTTCTTGTTTTCTCTCCTGCACAGAATCTTATTGTGCTGATAATTAAAGATTGGGGTAGTCTTTTGCTGATAACTAAAGACTGGGAAAGATAATTGCCCGAGCCCTGGGCTGTGGTGTTGACCACCCACAGCCATGCCCCCCAAAGGAAGGGGAAAGAAGAGGAAGCACTAGTTGTGGCAGCACGTGACCACCCACTCCTTGCACTTGGCTTGAGTCTCCCCAGGTGGGGAGGCAGGGGGCAGTGATTCTGGGGTCCAATCCTGGAGCTTTGTTCAGGGCTGCAAAATCACTCTGTGGTAAAAATTTGTGCACAGTTACAAAGTGCAATTCTTATTTTACTTTCATGTGTTATGGTTTATAAAAACCTAGTTGTGAATATCGACAAAGAATGCCACCCATCAGCAAGACCCTGAATCGTGCTTGTCTAAACTGAAGGCAAAGCTTTACAAAATATCAAAGTCTGTAAGCTAAGTGGGGTAATTACAGACTTCAGAGGCATCTCTAGTATCTGTTCAGTCCTGACATTTGCAAATCAGTTGGGACAGCCATACCTATTAGACTTGCATACGGGGTTTGTTGTTGTGGGTTTTTTTTTTTTTAAAGGAGTGTCTGTTTATTTATGAGTTACTGTGTCGTTTCAGGGACTTTTCTATTTTACAATTAGATTTCAGTGTACTACTTCTAAAATAAATAACAATGTAATTTTTATGAAAGGCAAATATTACATTTAGGAACCTGTACTTCTACAGCGTTGTCCTTCACTTTATTCCTTGAATGGTAGCCTAAAGCTCACAGGGGCTCAGTCATGAAGGGCTCCTCTCTAGCAGACATTTTTCCTTCCTATTTATTTAACATGAGCATGTTCTAAATTTTTAAATATTTATTGTATTGAACAGATCATATTTTATGTAAGAAAAAATTACTAAATCATAAACCCTGGAAGACATAGTTCTTACTTATCTTTGGTGATGTTATCCATACCTTTCTTTGTCAGTTTCTATGGAAGTGATTCTATTACAAATACAGGTAATGGCAAGATTCAGAACCATAGTGATTCTTTTGTCCTGTCAAATGTCCAGTGTTCTTAACAGCGAGGAAAGCTAAATCTTTAGTATATAAAATGTGTTCATGTAATAGTACCTATATGTTTTTAAAAAATATCTGTGTGCATTAAAGTAATTTTCTTTGTGCAATTCAGATGCTTTAGATTTCTGCATAGTATGTACCATGGAGTGTCAGGCCTCCTACCAACAAGGTTTAAGTACCTGAAAATGCACACGGGACACTTAATACTGGAGTTCCAGTATCATCATCTCAAAGTACGTAGGTTTAGTTTAGACAGACAGTGGCCCAATTCCGTTGCTTACCTGGACCATGGATCCTGCTGTTCAGTGATGAAATATGTGTGTGGCTCTCCCTATTGTCTCAACATAATTTATAATGCAAGCACTCTATACAGATACATATAGCATTTACTTGGAGTGAATAACACATGGCTTTATGGGGTTATCTGAGAGAAACATGCCTGCCTGCTACCACCTGTACAGGATATTAGGTCACCATAGGCATCGAAAGGCCAGCAATGCTAAATATAACAGATAAGGCATGCACTTTTAACTTTTACTGTCATCCATCTTTTCTTGGGTCTTTGCATTAGAGTGTATGCAGTATTTTAACCCCATCCATAAGAAAATGTGGTAGAGCTTATTCTTCTAGTTCCAAACACTACCAGGGCTAAAACAAGTTTTAAAATAGCCAATGGAGCATTTCTTTTTTTAAAAAAAAAAAATTGTTTGTCTCTTTCTTATCTCTTTCCTGCTTTAGACAACACAGCATCCATAATAACCAGAAGGAATGGATTTCGGAGGCAGGAACAATCAGTTTACTATTTGCCAATATTCATTGTCGACAGTGGTTCTCCTTCACTCAGTAGCACCAATACCCTTACTATCCGGGTATGTGATTGTGATACTGATGGCATCGCTCAAACTTGCAACGCAGAGGCCTATATCTTGCCAGCCGGGCTTAGCACTGGAGCACTAATAGCAATACTGGCTTGTGTCCTGACATTGCTAGGTATGTCCATTGACTTCTGTTCGCCTACAATCCTCCTTCAAAACAAGTACAAATGTTGTTGCTTTTATTTATTTGTTTACTAGTGATTAAGGCCCGTTGCGGAAAGGAATGCAACAAGCTCTAGGGAGAGGGTCTGGGAGAGTGCTCCCGCCTGCAGCCATGGCACGCATCTGCCCCGCAGATAGCTATCTAAAAGGCGGGGGGTGAAGAGAGGCCGGCGATGGCCGGCACAGGAGAGGGCACATGCCACCCGGCCTTCCCAGTGGGTGCAGAAGGTGCGGTGGCAAAGGAGAGGCTGCACGCCACCTGGCTGTTCCCGTGGCTCCAGGCAGTGGGGGGGCGAAGACAGGGCACACAACAGCCAGCCCTCCCGGGTGCTTTAGAAATGGAGTGTGGAATGGGCCAGTGACATGTGGCACACCAGGGACAGAGAGGCCACATGCCATCCGGGCCTTCCAGCAGCTGCAGAAGCGGGGACAGGGAGGTGGGATGGTGACATGTGACATGCCAGGGATGGAGAGGCTGGACGCCACCCGGCCCTCCCAGCATCTCCAGATGGGGGGCAAAGACAGGCCAGCACACTGGCGGAGAGGCTGCAGGCCACCCGGCCGTCCCAGCAGCTTTACAAGCCAGGGAGGGAAGAAAGGTCACCAACGGGCGGCACGGTGGGGAAGGACATGGCCCACACCACCCAGCCCTCCCGGAGGCCTCCCAGCAGTTTGCGGCAACAGGTCAGGCAGTGGAGGCACTCGCTCCTGGTGTAGCAGCCACCACTGCCTTGCCGTCGCTTGGTCCTCGGCCACTTGTGAGTCTGCCGGGGCCCTGCACTGTCGCCCCGCAGTGCAGAGCGCTTATGGGAGTGGGCAGGGTCCGCGTGAATGGCTCAGCCGGGGGGAAGAGGTGGTGGCCTCCTCCTCCTCCTCAGGGTTCTCCATGAGGGAGATGGAGGAGTGAAAGAGTGCCACTGCTGTCTTCAGCTCCCTCACAGAAGACGATGTGGGGCCATCGGCTGCCCTCCACTGGGGCATCCGCGCCACCTAGGCCAGCATCTCCCAGGCTGGCCAACGACATCTGTGGAGCATCAGCAAGTGCCTGGCCCCTCCATCAAGGGCGAGAGGCTGCGCGGGAGGAAGGGAACGCAGCCAGTGGCCAGGGACCCATTTTTGAGTGGCACTTCATGGAGCCTATTGATTTTGCAGCACATCGAATCTTGCCACCCCAAATGACAAATATATATAAGGAGAGGTTTTTGTTCTTCAAGGAGCTCCAGGAGGTAGGGTTTCAGAAATGGTCTTTCACAGAGATACTGGCCAGGTCCAGACCCTTTTAGCTGCAATAGGTGGCTGCATCAGGCATCTTCAAGAAATTGTCTATAGTAATTAGTTTCTATTATGCCAGATATTTTGCTGCAGATTTGTTCTGTCTGATGCAAAGAGGTAAGAGATGAAGAGCATCAGCTTTACAGTTTAACCCTTGGGCTCACCGACTGACACAGCAACTCACGAACACTAACAACTTATTGTGCATAGACCTAGAGATCAGCACAGTACACTTAAAGTGCATTCTTAAGCAAAGTTACACCCTTCTGTCTCCAGGTGGGTAGCCATGTTGGTCTGAAGCAGTAGAGCAAAGTTTGAATCCAGTGGCAGACCAACAAAGTTTTATTCAAGGTATGATATGTGTGTGCCACTGGACTCAAACTTTGTTCCTTCTATCTCCAGTGACTTTTACTGACTTAGAAAGGTGTAACTCTGCTTAGAAATGCAATTTTGGTACAGAATATAGAAGTTGCTTTTCTTGAAATTGAGAGCGGTCAATCACCGTCATCAACTATGTTAACAAACCATCAAGCCTGACAATATAGAGAGCATTACAGGAGAATCGCTATTTCACTTAAAAACAAATTTCAGAGAACAGTGGCATCTCATTTTACAATTATTTTCCCTCCTTCATTTAAAGCAATTTAATAATCATATATCCCTCAGTAAATATAACACAGTCAGTTTCTCTTCCCATGCTGTTATCTTCATTCTTCTTAAACATTTTCCCTGCAGCATTATCTTGCTGGAATTGGAACTGGTCATCTCAGAACAAAGTCCCTTTTTCTTTTTCAAGGACTGTAATCCACTTAAATCGTGCCTTCAATCTTGGGGATCATTCCATGTTGCTTTTTCATTCCATGTTGCTTTTAAAAGCCAAACTTGTAGAGAGTCTATCCATCCTTTTGCCTGTTAGACTTTTTTGAGTATGTCCATGGCATACCCATCACTTGCAGCTTCGCTTAGTCGACTATAAACAGGCCCCGCCACTTAGTCTTACTATTAGACTCTCCTCTTTAATATTGGAAGTCCCTTTGATCCAGGGCTAGTCGCTTCTCCAATGTGAACACAGTCCCCTGAAAATAGCAGCCAAAATATAATACAGTTCTTGTGTTGTAACTCGTTTTTGCCAGCAGAGGGTGAAAACTTAACTTGCAGTCTGAAAGATTCTATGGTTGTTTTGGTCACATAAGCCAGTTGCTTTCAACTTCCTGAAGGAAGCTTGGGTCTCGTTTGTTGCTTCTTCTGCCTTGCCAGTCGCCATTTTTAAGCATGTAGACTTTTTTGAGTATGTCCATGGCATACCCATCACTTGCAGCTTCGCTTAGTCGACTATAAACAGGCCCCGCCACTTAGTCTTACTATTAGACTCTCCTCTTTAATATTGGAAGTCCCTTTGATCCAGGGCTAGTCGCTTCTCCAATGTGAACACAGTCCCCTGAAAATAGCAGCCAAAATATAATACAGTTCTTGTGTTGTAACTCGTTTTTGCCTGCAGAGGGCGAAAACTTAACTTGCAGTCTGAAAGAGTCTATGGTTGTTTTGGTCACATGGGCCAGTTGCTTTCAACTTCCTGAAGGAAGCTTGGGTCTCGCTTGTTGCTTCTTCTGCCTCGCTAATCGCCATTTTTAAGCCTGTTTACTTTATTCAAAATTTGCCAAAGTCCCAAAAGTTTGCCCAAATGCTTGTTTAACTCCTGAGGTCTCTCTACTACAGTCTATTACTGTTTAAAACTCTGTCCCCACTGCAGTGCCTTTTCTTTTTTTTGCTTATTTTGTTCTTTCCGGGGGAGAGTCCCCCCCCTCACTTTAATAAATGGGGACTCACTCATTTTCTGGTGTTCTCGCTTTATCGGACTCACTCTTCGATGTCTGATCACTCGGATCTTGCCAGGTAAGAATTTTAATGCTAAACCTCCAAGCGCTTGTTCCGGTGTGTGTGGCTTAGTCCCGTTCAGGAACGCAGTGCTGAGACCTTTGGGGCAAAGGGAAGCCCCAATCTTCCAGCAGCATGCCTGCAGAGGGGTGACCCTCAGCACCCCATGGCAAGGGACTCATCACACAAGTCCCAGGGGGGATGCGTACATTCGCTCCCCCTTTCAGTGCGCTGGTTCACGGATCTTCCCCCAGGAACACCCTGGGGAGACAGCCGCCATCAGCCCCCCAAAACTGTATTATCTGTTCTAAATCTATATGTGAAGAATTCTGAGCTAGAGACTTGATATCACTAGGCATCATTTTAATTATTAATGCAGCTGAATGTTTAGACGTGGCACAGGTCTGGCCTCATCTGGGCAAGTAATGTTGATGTAAGGGTTGCCAGCACCTTGGGTTTCTGTGGGATAAATTTTTAATCATTTCTGTCTCTAAGAAATGATTGCTGTGTAAATCAGTTATCTATACCAAGTATACGCCAAGGGATGTGCAGTGTTTATTGGATGCTTTTTAAAAATTATTCTTGCAACAGAGATGTTATGTATTCGAAGCTCCACAAGAGTATTTCTTTGAGCTTTTATAGTTTAGATGCACACTATCAAAGCTAAGCTTTTTTCAAGGAGCATGCGAAGCAATGCCGGGAGCAATAGCATCTCTGGAATCAGCTACAATTTATGGGTGCAAAGGAGAAGTGGAACGTTGTGTTTAGAAAGGGTAACAGCCACAATCCAAAACGGAGTTAATGAACCCTATAACTGCCTTGATTCAGCCAGTATAGCCATACTTTTCAGAACCCTCTGGTAGGAAAATTAACATCCTCCAATCACCTCAATTTTTAAGGAGCAGCAAAGAACTTCTCTCCCCATCTTTTGTGTGTGTGTAACATTTAGCATACCCTGACTTGGATGGCCATATTAGCCTGATCTCATCGGATCTTGGAAGTTAACCAAAGTCAACCATGGTTAGTACTTAGATGGGAGACCACCAAGGAAGACCGGGACTACTGTGCAGTGTATGCCAAAAAAGGTATTTGGATTGGATTGGACTACTGTGCAGAGGAACACAGTGGCAAACCACCTCCATTCATCTCTTGCTTTAAAAACCTAAAGGGTCACTATAAGTTGGATGCAACTTGACAGCACTTTCCACCTCTAACATGTGTATGGCATCTAAAGCTGAAGCCTAAGACAAATATGACAAAGAATCTGCCTAAGAATGATATATTTTTCTGACTCTGTATTTTTTATTTTCTTGAGATAATAAACTAATGATGTGTCTCTGCCCTTACTTGATAAAGCCAGTGGTCCATCTGATCCTATATCAGTGCCATGCATAGCAGTGGTGAACCCACTTGCTCTGCAGGGCCAACAAACAAGGAATAATGGCCACAGCCTTTCCCTTATGTTTCCTCCTGGTACTGGTATTCAGAAGTCTGTGCATGTGGAGATTCCCTTTTGTCACCATGGCTAGTAGTCTCTGATAGACCTATCCTTCATGATGCCAAAAACTGATAGCTGTCCATGTAGCTATACATTCTTACTGAGGCAGAAAAGAAAATGGAATATAGTGTAGTTTTCTAAGAGCCTATGATCCCCAAACTTCCCTCCGCAAAGCCAGAATGAAATGCAAATTAGATGTCTTTATTATTTGCTTATTCTGCCACATTCCAGATCACTAAGGTCGCATTCACACAGGCAATTTGATCCATTGCCCTTGCTGTTCCCTTATGGATTTAAAGTGCACGATC